TAACCAGGCCAGCACAGTAAACCCTATAGTGGCCCTATGGTGTGAATCATTGATTCAGTACTGCATGGAAACCAGAGGCTCATCCAAGTAGGAAGAGGAGGATGGTTCTCCTCACTAGATTGAGAAAATAATTAGAATAAAACCCCTCAAGTCACCAGCCACAACTAAATAACTAATATCGGTCCCTGTGTGTGTGTGTGTGTGTGTGTGTGTGTGTGTGTGTGTGTGTGTGTGTGTGTGTGTGTGTGTGTGTATGTGTGCGTGTCATTTCCAGGCTGTGTGTGCGCTCGTGTGCAAACTTACGTGTGTCTCTATTCAGGATCTTCTCAATGGGCGGTGGAGGACCTGTCAGCAGCTGCAGCTGTGACCACATGATTACCTGAGTCCCTTTAATGTAAACTCCACAGTTTAGATTGAAATACGAGTGCCAGGCTGAACGCCACTAGACAATGTGTTGAGGAAGGGGAGAGGGGAGAGAAAACAAACTTCCACCATGCTCTGAGGATCTGGTTTAAGTTTCAGCCATTCATGGGCAGAAACACACGAACACACACACACACACACAATCATACACACATAAACACACAGCCACGGTGGTGGGTTGGAGCCTGGGAACATGCAGAGAGAGGGTCCTGTGTCAATAAGAAACAGTGGTGGGCCACAATAGAGCCTGCCTCAGACCACACCGCTGACAGACACCCACACAAAGGAGCCTGAAAGGACTCCCCCGCCATTCTCACACACACCAAAGAATGGGCCAGTGTGTGGCTGTGGTGGCAGGCTGCCCAGGGCTGTTTGATGAGTGTGTGTATATGTGTGTGTGTGTGTGTATATGTGTGTGTACATATACACACACAAACACCCAAGACGGACGTGGATGGACACACGCCCGCACGCACGCACACACACACAAAACACACACACACACACATACTGAGCACATAAACAAACACCCATACTTACAAAAGCAACATAAAAATGTACCCATGTAAAGAAACTTACAGTAGGCCTAATTGTCAAACCCAGCAACAGGTTTTTGCTGAGATCATTGCAGGGGTTCACCATAATATATAACCACTACACTAACTTTGAATGCTGTGTAACACAAACAGTTATCTAAGGATACATTATAGAAACTCCCTTTCACGTAATGCTGACCTGTATCTGTGTCTGTGAGTGTTAGCAGTGCTGAGATGATGGAGCCAGAGATGTGTTGACTTACTGTAACCAAGGAGCAGTAGCTAGCTCTATGTCCTTGCTGTAGGTCTATGGCAGTAACACAGGATAAAGAGGTGAAGTGCTGCCACCTTGTGGCGGGGATAAAACCACCACTGAATGATTATTTCCCAACCTAACCACTAGATGGCAGCATTGAGTCTTACATCACTTTCCAATTTGGGTGTAAAGCTTGATTCCTCCCTGACCTTTGACAGCCACATCAAACAACTGTGAAAACGTCTTTCTATCACGTCTGGACGACTGCAACACACCCTTCATTGGGATCCCTGGCAGGAGTCTCCAGAAGCTCCAATACACCCAGAACAGCGCTGCCAGGATCCTGATGAGAGAGCGGAAACACCATCACATCACCCCCATCCTGGCATCTCTGCACTGGCTCCTTGTCTCATTCCGGATTGAATTCAAAACCCTTCTGCTGACTTTCCAGTGTATCCATGGCAATGTCCCTCCTTATCTCAAAGAACTCCTCTCCCTCAATAACCCCACCCGCACTCTCAGGTCAAGCGATAGCCTGCTCCTCCATGCCCACAGGACCAAGCTTCGTCAGGACGGCTGGGCACGGCCAACGTTCATTATGGTGTGTCCTGTCCTTTACATATAGGGGCAAGACTATAAAGTGATGTGATTAAAAACCATCAAAATAAATTTAACAGAGATCGAGTTTAAGCATTATCAAAGTTTTATTTTTAAAATGTATTATAGAGGAACAGTAGTACAATTGAAACAGAAAAAAAGGAGAAGTATTTCATTTTGAAAACCTTGAAAAAACATATAAAGAGTAACCTGACTTGTTTTGTGTTTGGGGTTGAGCCCAAGAAAGGCCCATTGGTTTTGCATCACCGTAGTTTGAAAAGAGTTGAAAAATACACATTAAAAAAAAAACTTGTTTCTGTATTAGTGTTGTGTTTGTTTTGTCTAATATAGTACAGCATAATAAAATCTAAAACAATACATCATCTTGAGATCATCGGTTGCACAGTAAGGGTGTCAAAGGATAGTATAAAAACAAGAAACAGGGTGGTTTGATGGATTAGCACAGGTGTGAACACACACAGAGACCCAGAGAGAGAGAGAGGAAGGCTAGGGTTGTGTTCATTAGGGCACAACGTAGCAACACATCTTGCAACGGAAAACAAAAACCAGTGTTTCTTATTGGACAAGTACAGATAGCATAGCACCTCCCCATTTCACTTGTCTTCCGTTTTCGTGCCTTCTGAACGCAAACAGGACACGACAAAAAGCCAGGCCAAGGTTTTAAACAAGCTAACTGAAGCTGACTGTGTTCCATTAAGTAAAATCAACTAGTTAAGTATTATTTTTTTTCCCATATATATTTTTTATATATATATATCGTTTTTCTCATATACTCTCATACATATAGAATCCCTCCCACAGTGATTTGAAGGTAAATCATATTTTACGAACATGGATGAGGAACTTACTATAGGAGCTTTCTTTAAAATACATTTGCACTTTGAGTAAAGGGAGTTCAAACATTTCTGTATCATTATAGCACTTCAATATATATATCCACTGCATATGGACAGAAACTGGTGTTCCTAGGTTTCAAACAATCCATATTTCTTATAAAATATGTTCTTAATGAAATAAAATTATAAAGGAAAAGAAAAGATCTTTGTAAAGGACAAATAAAACTATATATGTATCTAGGGTAAAGTGAATGATTTTTTTTATATATATAAAAACATTTAAATCTGACGATTACATACACAAGCAAGGATCTACATACTATAGAATTTACCTGGCTTTTTTATACATCATCTCAACAATAATAAACGATTTGGTTGGAGAAATAGATAGAAATTAACAGTCTTGATTGCATTTTGGAGTCAATAATAATATTAAATAACAAAATGTCTTAGAAAATGTTCCGCATGGAAGAGAAAAGACAGTTTTAATATAGTTCCATTCAGACCTTCTTTGGGGAATCAAAAAAAGACAAAATGATTTTCATGAACGCCAACAAATAAGTGCATGTCTATGATAACCATAGAGCGTCACTTTATATCTAACAAAGTGTTTTCCTACCTGGCAGACAAAATAAAAATACTTATAACAAATTCAATAAAAACTGATTGTAAAAATATCATAACTTTTGAAAACGGAGTTTCTCTTTCAGACTTCATAAATCACATATTATGATCTATCTGTACTCTTCTAATATCACCTGACACCCAACTTTCAAGTGATTAATAGCATATAGCTATATATACACTCAGTACCTAACACACACACACACACACACACACACACACACACATATATATCTCGTCTTAACTTAGGTCCAGTACTGCCGGTAGTTCTACAAAATGGTATGTGAGTGTGTGGCCATTAAATTAAAAAAAGACAATAGCACAACAGTGTTCTATAGATAGCTGATTAATATATATAACTGAGTCATTTCAAGCTTCATGATTATAAACATCATATACAGCCGTAGGTCCAGTATTTTGCAACATAAGCATTACAGCACCAATCGTTTCCGTCATTTGGCAAAATTCAAGCTTTAAATTAATGTCAAAATGCTTTATAAAGTGTTACTGTGTGGTGCTGTGATTCATATAAAGCTAGCAAATAATATTTCCCCTTATACTTTCGCTTATTATTTTCTGAATCACTTTTAATTTTTCTCTGCTTTAAAGGGATACTTGGGGATTTTGGCAATGAGGCCTTTTATCTACTCCCCAGGGTCAGATGAACTGGTGGATACCATTTCTATATCGCTGTGTCCATTATGAAGGAAGTTAAGAGGTAGTGTTGAGAGCCAATGCTAACTAGCGTTAGCGCAATGCCTGGAAGTCTATGGTATCTGCTAGCATGTGAGTAGATACCCATAGACTTCCAGTCATTGCGCTAAAGCTAGTTAGTATTGGCTCGCAAAACGACCTCTAACTTCCTTCATACTGGACACAGAAACATACAAATGGAATCCAAAAGATAATCTGACTCTGTGGAAGTAGATAAAGGGCATCATTGCCAGAATCCCCAAGTATCCCTTACATTTTTTATCACCATTTTTCAGTAGTTTTTTGTTTCCTGCTAAATCTTGGTGTGCATTCTGCATGGCACATAGCACAGCCGACTTAAATTAAACTCATAAATATGGCTGTGATAAATTAGTCACAAGACAGATTTTTTTGGTTCCAAGATTTGTGCAGGGAAAAGATAGAATAATAATAGAAAATAAGAATGTTCAGAGCATCTAAACATCAAATCTTCCTGTCGGCAAATAATGCTCTCTTTCTTTCTTTGACGTACTTTCTTCTAAAACACGCACCTAACAATATACTTTCAGATTTGACAAAGTCCAAATCTGAAACTGAACTTATCTGATAGCAGTTTACAACAAAACAGAAAAAAATGTATATTTAATAAGACCATAATAACTTCTCTTTCATAAATTAAATAATTAACATTTATTTTAAGATGATTGGCCTTTCGTAACTTAAAAACGCTGTACACCACCAACCCCCTCCCCCCAAAAATAAAATAAATCACCATAAACCTGATTTCAATATTTCATTTGTATCTCTTTCTCTAGTGAGCACAAGGCTCAGAGTCTAGAGACACATAGAATATCTGTACATCTTGGAGTCCCTCTCTACCAAAGCTTCTCTCTTTGTCTCATACACTAAACCGTGTACATAACCTCAAGATTTGATAGCACTTTGGAGTTGTTGATTGTTTACCAGCTTTTATATTTATAAATCATCAACTATTTTTTGTTTCTGAGCAAGTCGCTACTCATTCTCAAGGGCAGCACCAGTGTCGCCCTCCTCCCAGTTGGATTGGTCGTTGCCGTTAGGCTCTTCCCCCTCCTCAGCCATGTCCTCATCAGGCTCCTCCCCCTCTCCGAAGTCGTCGTTTTCGCGGACGAACCCCTCCATGGACTCCAGGCCCTCCTGCGTGGCCTGGTGGGAGTCTGCACAGTCCACACAAACGCCGTAGCGCCGTGAGCCGTGCCGGATCCCCACGCTGGCCGCCAGCATGAAGATCTTCTTACACACCATGCACTTGTACTTCTTGTCCTTCTTGTGCACCTGTAGGGATGGGGAGGGGGGAGAGAGAGAGACAAGGGTTAATGCTGTGTTCATGTGCTGTCGGAATGATACGTGGAAATTAGAAACTCACGCTAAGCTCCTGGAATAGTCAGAAAAACTAAAATAAATAAATGTGTGCCCAACTCAGAAATATGAGTGGGAAACTGCCACTCCCCAATCAATCTGATATTTCCCACTTCCCTATTTCTGAGGAGCAAATGAATGTAGCAAAATACATGGGGGAGACCTCTACAGAGGAAGAGTGAAGAACAGAGTGATGGAGGGGGGGAGAGAGAGGGAGGGTGGGTGGAGGACAGAGTGATGGAGGGGGAGTGCATTGGTATGTATGTGTGTAATAATGTTTTGAAGAGGGAGGTGGTGTGATTAAAAAAAAAAAAAAAAAAAAAAATGTAATTAAGGAAATCCAAGATGACATGGTTACAAGGACATGGTGATGGGTGTTTAGAGGCAGGCAAGGGTGTCTGAAGGACTCAGGCCCTCTACTCACCAGGGAATGTCAGTACAGTAGCTAAGGGAAGTTGAGGGTGTCTGAAGGACTCAGGCCCTCTACTCACCAGGGAATGTCAGTACAGTAGCTAAGGGAAGTTGAGGGTGTCTGAAGGACTCAGGCCCTCTACTCACCAGGGAATGTCAGTACAGTAGCTAAGGGAAGTTGAGGGTGTCTGAAGGACTCAGGCCCTCTACTCACCAGGGAATGTGAGTAGCTAGAGGAAGGTGCTGGGTGTTTTAGGGACAGAGGGGGTGTGGAGATAGACTCAGGTGTAGGGTTGCAAAAATCTGGTAACATTCCCAAAATACTCTGGTTTTCCAGAAATCCTGGTTGGAAGATTCAGATTCAGATTTCCTGATTATTCCCTCCTGAATACAATAATCTTCCAACCAGGATTTCTGGAAAACTTGGGAATCTTGAGAAAGTTACCATCATTTTTCAACCCTACTCAGGTGTCAGCTGTCTGGGGGAAGGTGAGAATGTGGAGGACAGCTATGTTTGGGGGAGGTGAGGTTCCCTTTCAGGCCCTCTACTAACCAAGGAATGTCTCTTGACAGGAAGGTGACAGTGTAGAGGGAGGCTATGACACGGTGATGTGTATATAGGGTCTTACCAGGGAATGTCTCTTGACGTGCTTTCTGCGGGTGAACAGTTAGGGGAGGTACTGTGTGTTTTAGGGGAAGGGTGTAGGGTAAGGTGTAGGGTCTTACCAGGGAATGTCTCTTGACGTGCTCTCTGCGGGTGAACAGCTTGCCACAGATATCACAGCTGAAGGAGCGGACACCAGAGTGGATAATGAGGTGCCTCTTTAGTGTTCTCCGGTGCTTGGCGATGTAGTTACAGTGGGGACACTTGAGCTTATTCAGGGCCGTGTCGGATGACTCGCCTGAGGAGAAAAACACAAACAGGTTATGGAGGAGGCTGCTTTCTAATCAGTTGCTCAAACCCACATTTGACAGACAATGAAGGTAGGAATTTGGGGCAGTTACTTGAAGAGCCACCCCAGTCTCTGGCGGTAGGACCCCTTGGTTCTTCACTTCCCAATAAAAGAGAGGAGCTGTTGGGTGTGGTGAGGGGGGTCTGTGGGGTACCCAGTGAGGGGATATCATGTTTACCATGGTGTTTATGGAAAGGAAAAACACTCAAGAGATACCTCCATTAAATACTAGAAACTGTGTCAGTTGCCATGGCAACACTACTGCCTAGGGGACATAAAATAAGTATAATGTGATTTCCCTACCGAAAACATGTAATTGTTTTACCACTGACATAAAACATTCCAGATTCGTGTAGGAAGGAAAGAAAGAATGTCTAAGAAAATGTTTGGAAATGAGGTGCCTCAGCTGCTATGAACACATTTCACAAGATATCAACAAGGTTCAAATTAAAGTGGGCAAATATTACAGCCTCGATAAGCAATTACACAATTGTGAAGAAAGATATTTGACGAATCTATGATGTGAAAAAGTGGAACCATAACACCACACTAACCACTAAACAACCCAAGAGACAACTATAGATAGTGACTATAGTTAACTTATTGATTTGGCTAGGCGCTGCGCTATTCTGTACCACAGCACAGCCACCTCAATGATAGGGTTCTGCCTTTGTCTTTGTTTGAGCCAAGACACAAAAGCGTTGTCAAGCAGGCCAGGTTGCCAGGGGGCTGAGGAAAAGCAGGTCACCTGTGCTGTTTGTGTTCAACAGGCTACAGTGCGTTTCACAACGCCACCTTGTGGGATATTTACATTTTAGTCATTTAGCTCCTATCCAGAGCCACTTAGAATGATTATTCCGATCATTATCATATTAACCATCCACCAAGTTAGGTTCATGACATAAGGTTTGAAAACAAATCGCTCATAAGTATAGTAATCTCTAATCTGTAAGCACCAAAGTCTGAACATATTTCTGAACAGACACTAAACCAACTACTATAGTGTATAATAGTAGGTAAATGCATCTTATACAAGAAGAGGACAAATCTTACCATTCTCCCAGGACTCTCCTTGCTGGGAGGAGAGTTGTAGGAGGCTGTCCTGAATCTGGTTGGCCAGTTCTGAGAGAAGGAGAGGATGAGAGGCGGAGAAACACAGATATGATAAGAGGGGCTGAAAGCTTTGGGTGGGGGGAGACAGAGGGACACTACCTTACGTACACAAAATACCAGGCCCCACAACCCCCCCAGTTTACAGACCTATCCCCAGGGTCGTGTTCAGCAGGGCACGCTGTAGCAAAAACATTTTAAAAATACATTAATAAAATTACTTATTGGACAAGTCATGCAGGTGTTTCATTCTGCTTTCATTTTTTCTGTTTGGTGCCTAATTCCTGATAAATACGACCCTGGTGCTGATGAATACGACCCTGGTGCTGTCTGTGTTCTGTCATCCAATCTCTAGCCTGCCTGTCTGTAGAACACTTCCTCTAGCCAGGCCACTGTTTTCAGCAGCCTCTCCCACTGGGCTGTGGATTATGCCAGGATGAAACCCTCAGCCCCTCACTGAAGATCATGTTACACTGAACAGGCTTAATTAGCCCTAGCTCTGTGCCTGGCCCTCAGAGCCTATTGTTAAGTACCTGACCACTGGTTCCATTCTCTATTCTGCCTGCTTGCCTGGGTCAATATTTGGAATGGCGAGGACAGCCCCAGTGCATTAGGGGGGATTAGGGAGGGAGGGAGGGGCAGACCCTGACAGCTTTGCACCTCCAAGGGATTGGGAGGTAATTTTGTGTGTGTGTGTGTGTGTAAAGTGGCAGCCCGCACTTTGAAACAATCCAACGGCCTTATTTAGAGAGGAACCAAGCCATAAATCCAGCAGCTCTGCTCTGGTAAAGCAGAGAGGGATGGCCCTCGTCTCACCTAAAGCTTAGGTAGTGTTTATTCGGCACCAAACGGAAGAAAACTGATTGAAACAGGGAGACTTTGTTTTAAAACAAATCCCTTTGGTCTCCTCAGAGTTAGGTCAATCTGCTTTTAATTTATTTGTACTCCATGTATGGAACAATCTACAGAGTTCCCTACAACTGGATGTTCTGGAGCCTCTGGCAGTTTAACATGTTGATTGGGGAGTGGGGACCTCCTTGTTGAGGAATGTGATCGTTTTTCTTTAATATTTGTATTATATTGTATTTTATTTTACATTGTATTTTACTTTGTAATTTGTGTATATGCAGGGCTCCCTTGCAAAAGAGACCTTGATTTCAATGGTGACTCCCTGTTAAAATAACGGTAAAGAAATATTTGTAAAAAAATATGTGCCCTAATGAACACGACCCAGGCTACTAAGCGCTCAGCCATGCTAAGCCGCAGCTTCTCCTCATAGTAACACAAACTACTACAGTTCACTACTACTTTAGAAGGCATTTTTCTCCAGAATACGTGGAAATTGGAGCATGTCTAATACATAGATCTAGGCTGAAGAGACGGAGAGAAAGGGAGAGGTCGGAGTGCCAAATTAGGGAATTGTGTTGCTGCATTAATGATGACAACACCCCTCGCCACAATAAACATGAGATAAGAGCATTTGTGTTGCGTTTAACGGAGCCTGGGGGAAGAATGTGTCCCCTGCTTTACTACATTATCCTGCAATAGGAGTGAAAACACCCCACTTAATACATGATATCATTCCATACAGCACACTGCTTAATGGGGGCAGAGCCGGCCCTGTGTGTGAGCGTGTGTCTGTATGAGGCCGTGAAAGGCTCATAGAGTCAGAGATTACCCAGGGTTTCTGAGGTATGGTGCGGCAGGATGAGGAGAGGAGTGGGGCCGACTTAAAAAGGACAGGCTAGCCATACTCATATCAGGCTGTCTGCTAATTAAAAAGATATACGGCTAGCGGAGGGCATGGGGCCTTCAGTCTGGATCAGACCTGGTTTCAAATACTATTCGAAATCTTTCAAACACTATGAGCGTTTGCTCAAGCTTGCCTGAAGTGCCAGATGGGTGGGTTTTGCAGTTTGGGGACTATTCTATTGGTCCATTAAGCCAGGCAAGCTCAATCGAGCACAGATATAGTACTTGAAATGATTTGAACCCAGGTCTGCTCGGGGTTTTGTGACTCTCTCTAGTCACCCTCTCTGACTAGCACTAGCAGGCTGCCATGTCCAGTGGACCAGGACCAACCTCTGGACTAACTCAGACCTCACCAACTCTAAATGCCATGACTAGAGGCATGGTCGTCATACCACGTCAGTCTAGGAACTACACAGAAAACGCTAAGCCTACATGTTCACTAAACCAGGGCTGCTGGTTGGTCATCTAAAGAACTGTTGGTTCAGCCTACCTAAAGAATGAGTGTGTGTTTATGTGTTGTCAGTGGGGGGGGACTGAGTGCTTGGTCTGCCCACTGGTGACGTACCTGCGTTCTCAGAGAGGAAGGAGAAGTCCTCCCTGGGATAGGAGGCTGAGGGCTGGATGAACATCCCCTCGTCAAACCCTTCCTCCGGCTCCGGTGGGATGTTGTAGACGAACCGCCGTGTGATCTGTTTTTTCCTCCGCCCGCTCCCCGGCTCCACCCTCTGACCTTCCCTCTTCACCGCCACCACCCCGCCCGCTGCAGCCCCGGGAGCCGGCTCGTTCCAGACGAACACCGGCCCCGGTCCCGGAACGCTCGGAGGCTCATTCTCAGCAGACTCGGATGAGTTCTCACAGCCCCAGCTCGAGCTTCCCAGGCCGCAGCCCTCCCCTGTAGACAGCTCCACGTCACTGGGCTCCTCCTTTACGCTGCCTCCCCCTGCCTGGTCCCCATCCTTGACATGACCACTGGCTTTAATCGACAGCTTGGACAGGATGCTGGTGGCCCAGAAGTTACACCCAGGCTTCTTGTTGGTGCTGCCGTCCGAGCCCACCTGTCCTGCTCCGTCTTTGGCCACCGGTCTCCTCTTGTTGTAATCCACCACTACTGAGTCGGGGGCCTCCTGCTTGATGCTGATGTTGAGGGCTTCCTTGATGAACGACCGACACGAGCCCACCACCTCAGTCATCTGGAGGTAGGAGGCCACGGACATCACATCGATGGCGTTCTGACTGGTCAGCAGGAGGTTACCGCTATACAGGAAGTCCAGGATGACAGAGAAACCTGCCACGGCCGCCACGTCGAGGTGGGTGTCGGTGACTGTGGTCGTCTGGTCACATGACGAGGATGAGGAGGAAGTGGAGGAGGAGTTCTCGCTCTTGGTCAGGCAGTAGAGGGTCTTAAAGTAGCGGCTCCCGGCTACGAGGATGTTCTTGTGCGCCCGGAACACCTCTCCACTCACCACGATGTTGACGTCACAGAGGATACCTCCCTTGCGTTGTTTGTTGAGCTCCTGCAGCAGCTGGTAGCAGTAGGAGTCCTGGTTGGGTTTGTTGTTCCTGTAGTAGTCTTCGGTCTCCATGTCTGTCCCCTGGGGGGGGTCCTCACAGCCAGGCCGCTCCAGCTCCTGGTAGAGACAACACACACACACACACACACACACACACACACACACACACACAGAGAGAGAGAAACAAACAGAAGAGCAGGCTTAATGGCGTAGGGACACACAAAGGAAAGGGACAATGACAGAGGTGCACCTGGCAGGGGTGAAACTGGTCTGACTGGCTCCATAATGGGGGAGGTGTTGCTTCACCTGGTGGGAACTGGAAATTTGGTCACTACCTCCAAAGTAGACTGAAATACAGTCTGTGAGAGAGCTGCTTAGGTTACTGTTACTCCCACTTTGGCAGAAAATTTTGGGGCAGGTTCCCAGATTCAGATTAAGCAGATTTTTTGTCCCCAAATAGGGCCTAATCTGGGTCTGTGACAGCAGCCCATGGTGTTACAACCAATCATAACAGACGGAGAAAGATTTAACTGTCCCAAAACCCCACCCCGCTACCTGTCACTATGATGGCTGATGGGAGAGAAACCCCTTATTTTTCTGCCTCCATCCCTCCCGCTATCTTCCCTATCCGTACATGGGAGTTTCCCATCCAGGGTAGCAGGCCAAGCTGGTACAGAGCAGAGAGAACACAGCACTGCACTGACTGAACTGTTACAACACTAACACACTGCCTGCATACATTTCTGCCTCGTTTTGGAATTGCATAGCAGATGTCCTAATCCTGAGTAATTTACATTGCCCGAGCCCTACATTTTCTCTCCCCACCCCAATCCCCTTACACAGCTGGGTTTTCAGCTCAAGTAATTTATATTAAATCCATTTCTCTGCCCTCGGAGGTCCCCACCCTCCCTACTCTGAGTGACTGGAAGCCCTTGTCCGGGCAGGCAGGATGGGGGTTATTATCAGGAGCAGCAAGGCTCTCTGTCACTGCTAGCTAACGCTAGGCAGGACCAGGGCTAGAGGGAAGGAGAGAGAGGGAGAGAGCGAGGAAGAGATAGAGAGCCAGGTCACCCCATTTACCCCTCACAATAATAGGCTCTCTCCTCTCTTCCAGGCTCATTGTTCAGTGCTGCTTTGTGCCTCACTGGGGTTTCTTTGTATGGCCCTGCACTCACACACTCTTATTACATACAGCAGCTAAAGCCTGGCTCCTCCATGCCTCCTCTGCTCTTTGCTCCCACTTAACCAGAAAGGCCCTGACTTGACACTTGTGTGTGTGTGTGTGTGTGTGTGTGTGTGTAAGGGAGACAGGCTGCATGTGGCTCTCTAAGAAGGGCTAAGCCCTGAATAGGATAACAGAAAGGAAGGAAGAAGCAGAATGATTCCATCATCATCCACACAACCATACAATGGGCTCAATGCCAGAGAGTCGTCACCTTATTTTCTACCCTAACAGGATGGGTAGTATTTGGAGAGGTGTGGCATTGACACTTTGAAAGGTGCGTGTATACGGAAGGAGGCGGATGAGCAGGCAGATTAACCATCTGTGGTGAAATCACCTACTTCCTGGTTGCATAAAGAGGCATATTTACCATCTCTAAATCACATTTTATTTGTCACAAGCGCCGAATACAACAGGTGTAGACTTGACCATGAAATGATTACTTACGACCCTTTTCCCAACAATGCAGCGTTATAAAGTAAGACAATTAGCAAATAAAAGAGAAAATAGTAACACAATAAAATAACAATAACGAGGCTTTATACAAGGAGTACCGGTACCAAGTCAATGTGTAGGGGGCGAGGTGGTTGAGATAATATGTACAGGTAGGGGTAAAAGTGACTAGGCAGTAACATTCACTGGGTTAACAAGACGCAACAACTGACAGGTCATAATGGTAGGGATATGTCCTGGTATTGAGGCAGTTTTAACGTCTTAACCCTAATAACTGCCGCAGTAACCCAGACTGGTCACAATGGTTGGGGTAAAGGCCTGCTACAGCACTGCATGTAGGCCTAGGTTATGGGAGCTGGACTGCAGTATGGAGGTATGGGAGTCAGGCTAGGACACCCTCCTCTCACCAGCTCCATACTCAGCTCATCCTTCATCCAGATGTGCCACGTGTTACGGACTGTGTTAGTGCTGCTGGAGAGCAGATGCTGCTGGATCGGCAGGTCTCGCACCCTGCTCTGACTGGCTGAGTCCAAATGAGAATACCATGGTGAGAATATCAACCTCTGACGTGGCCATTTATTGTGAGCCAGGCCCAGTGATGTTATGGTGGAAACATAAGATTAGAGTACTGGTAGGCTAGAGGCCAGTTGACGAAGAAGTTCATAATCTAAATTAAATACAGTGCATTCAGAAAGTATTCAGACCACTTCCCCTTTTCCACATTTTATTACGTAACAGACTTATTCTAAAATGGATTAAATTAAATGATCATCAATCTACACACAATACCCCATAATGTCAAAGCGAAAACAGGTTTTTAGAAGCTTTGCAAATGTAAAAAAAAAAAAAAACGGAAACACCTTTACATGAGTATTCAGACCCTTTGCTATGAGACTCGAAATTGGGCTCAGGTGCATCCTGTTTCCATTGATCATCCTGGAGATGTTTCTACAACTAGATTGGAGTCCACCTGTGGTAAATTCAATTGATTGGACACGATTTGGAAAGTACACACCTGTCTATATAAAGGTCCCACAGTTGACAGTGCATGTCAGAGCAAAAACCATGCCATGAGGTCGAAGGAATTGTCCGTAGAGCTCCGAGACAGGATTGTGTCGAGGCACAGGTCTGGGGAAGGGTACCAAAAAATTTCTGCAGCATTGAAGTTCCCCAAGAACACAGTGGCCTCCATCATTCTTAAATGGAAGAAGTTTGGAACCACCAAGACTCTTCCTAGAGCTGGCCGCCCGGCCAAACTGAGCAATCAGGGGAGAAGAGCCTTGGTCAGGGAGGTGGGAGCTCCAAAGTTCCTCTGTGGAGATGGGAGAACCTTGCAGAAGGACAACCATCTCTGCAGCACTCCACCAATCAGGCCTTTATGGTAGAGTGGCCAGACAGAAGCCACATCTCAGTAAGCACATGACAGCCCGCTTGGAGTTTGCCAAAAGGCACCTAAAGGACTCTCAGACCATGAGAAACAAGATTCTCTGGTCTGATGAAACCAAGATTTAACTATTTTGCCTGAATGTAAAGCGTGACGTTTGGAGGAAACCAGGCACCGCTCATCACCTGGCCAATACCATCCCTACGATGAAGCATGGTGGTGGCAGCATCATGCTGTGGGGATATTTTTCAGCGGCAGGGACTGGGAGACTAGTGGGGATCGAGGGAAAGATGAACGGAGCAAAGTACAGCGAGATCCTTGATGAAAACCTGCTCCAGAGTGCTCAGGACCTCAGACTGGGGCGAAGGTTCACCTTCCAACAGGACAACGACCCTAAGCACACTGCCAAGACAACACAGGAGTGGCTTCGGGACAAGTCTCTGAATGTCCTTGAGTGGCCCAGCCAGAGCCCGTACTTGAACCCGATCTAACATCTCTGGAGAGACCTGAAAATAACTGTGCAGCGATGCTCCCCATCCAACCTGACAGAGCTTGAGAGGATCTGCAGAGAAGACTGGGAGAAACTCCCCAAATACAGGTGTGCCAAGCTTGTAGCGTCATACCCAAGAAGACTTGAGGCAGTAATCGCTGCCAAAGGTGCTTCAACAAAGTACTGAGTAAAGGGTCTGAATACTTATGTAAATGTGATATCAGTTTTATATTTTTTATACATTTGCAAAAATGTCAAAAAACCTGTTTTTGCTTTGACATTATGGGGTATTGTGTGTAGATTGATGAGGGGAAAAAAACAATTTAATCCATTTTAGAATAAGGCTGTAACGTAATAAAATGTGGAAAAAGTGAAGGGGTCTGAATACTTTCCGAATGCACTCTGTGAAATTCCATCTGTGTTTAGGCTATTACTATCGACGTATTTCTAGAATGACTGCAAATGCAGCCTAGGCCTATACAAACAGTAGATTAAAACTACTTTTACAGTAGATCTACCTACCAATCCTTAACTGTGTGATGTAGGCTACTGTTGGCTAACCTCTCACCATCCAGAAGTACAAATATAAAACACTTCCTCTTAAAACCGGTAGAGTAGAATTTGTGGAACAACATCCCAGAAACGAAAACAAACCAAGGGCCCTGCGGGCAACGAGAGCCCGGGCTAATGTGGCTACACCCCCCCCCCCCCGTTCCTCTACCATCACATCCCTACCCTGAGGCCAGCTAGCTCCATACCCTCCCCTAACCCGACCATCTCCCAGATACAAGAACAATGCAGCAGTGTGCCTGGCCCTAAGGTGTGGGAGGGGAGCAGGCCTCCAGGCCTCCCAACAATGCAAACAGCTCCTCGTTGGATTGGCGGATTCCAGGGAAGAATTGTCTCCCTCTCTCTCCACCTCCCTCTCTCTCCAGTCTTCTCCTCTGGCCTGCACCCCCCCACTACGCTCCGACCCAATCCAGGACAGTATGGTTGTGCTGTATAGACCCACCGTACCAGGGCTGTACAGCCCAGACCCAGGCTTGTATGTATGAGACCCTCAGACCCACAGTCAGTCAGCCACAGCTGCTCTGGTCTGTGTGCCCTCGCTATAGCAGAGCTAACCAAGTTAGTTCAGGCACGCAGCTGGGCAAGACTTTGGTCCGGAATTGGGTGCAGAAAATGATGCCATTTCATGTGCTGCTACAATGTAGTTCTCACAGGAATAATATTCAAAACAGCATTAGGCTACTATATCTGGGGGAAAACATCACAGGGAAAAATCATCTTTGCATATTTACCTTTGACATTAACAACGGCACAGAAATTCAATAGATTTTAAGGGCATCTAAAACCATTTTTAAAAAGCTACAAAATGAAATTAGGCTATAGCAAAGTGTTTGATTATATGGTGGATAAGGCAGCTACTGCCTGTCATGTCCCTCCCTATCCCTAACCTTTAAACCCTGACCAGGGTCTTGTTGCCAACCAGCCAGGGTAGTCTTGTTTCCAGGGAGGAGGACTACTTCTTCTCTAATCCCTCCTCCCACTGCTTTCCCTCCTAATTAGTGATATGTACAAGTTAGTGGATCCCTTCACTTTAAGTCATTCTGATTAGTGATTGAGTGTATCGGACGGATGGAACTAACCATGGTGGTCCGGCAGTGTGATCCAATCCTCTTGAAATTCACTGCCAAATTAGAGTCAAATTGTGGCTGCATGCTCTTAATTCCCCTGACAGCTTGAATCAGAGTCAGGATAAGAGGTGATAGGGCCTAGATGTCAAGTTGGTAACTGGGCTCTGTAGTTTATTTTAATTTTTTTATATACACTGCTGTGATTACACTTTAACCCTGTGTAAAAACCCTATAATTACTACAGTAGCTAACAACATTGTTAGATAGGATTTTTAGTAATTGCTTTGTAATTGTGTAGTAATGGAGTTGGGCAGGTTTTGTAATTACACAAGTGGAATGTATTATCTCGCCCAGAAGGTGTTTCATAGTCCTATGATGAATATTCCACACGTGATTTATTTGCAGCAATATGCACATATTCATCATTTTGGTATTGGGAACATCTTCAAGTAATCAATCTTTGAAAGAAGCCTTGGTGATGGTCTGTTATGGTTTCAGTCCTCATGTACATACAATCTGACAATGTATAGCTTTGTAATTATATGATACAAAACAACATACCATAATAACCCTTATCAATCCCTAAATGTGTGGGGTGACAAGGTCAGATGGTGCCATGACAACCCATGCTGCTGCCAGCATACATACACTACATTACCAAAAGTATGTGGACACCTGCTCGTCAAACATCGTATTCCAAAATCATGGGCATTAATATGGAGTTTGTCCCCCCTTTGCTGCTATAACAGCCTCCTCTCTTCTGGGAAGGCTTTCCACTAGATGTTGGAACATTGCTGCGGGGACTTGCTTCCATTCTGCCACAGGAGCATTAGTGAGGTCGGGCACTGATGTTGGGCGATTAGGCCTGGCTCGCAGTCAGCGTTCCAATTCATTCCAAAGGTGTTTGATGGGGTTGAGGTCAGGGCTCTGTGCAGGCCAGTCAAGTTCTTCCACATCGATCTCGAACAAACCATTTCTGTATGGACCTCGCTTTGTGCACGAGGGCATTGTCATGCTGAAACAGGAAAGGGCCTTCCCCAAAATGTTGCCACAAAGTTGGAATCACAGAATCGTTTAGAATGTCATTGTATGCTGTAGCGTTAAGATTACCCTTCACTGGAGCTAAGAGGTCTAGTCCGAACCATGAAAAACAGCCCCAGACCATTATTCCTCCTCCACCAAACTACAGTTGGCACTATGCATCGGGGCAGGTAGTGTTCTCCTGGCATCTGCCAAACCCAGATTCGTCCGTCAGACTGAAGCATGTTTCAACACGCCAGAGAACGCGTTTCCACTGCTCCAGAGTCCAATGGCGGCGAGCTTTACACCACTCCAGCCAATGCTTGGCATTGCGCATGGTGATCTTAGGCTTGTGTGCGGCTGCTCGGCCATGGAAACCCATTTCATGAAGCTCCCGACAAACAGTTATTGTGCTGACGTTGCTTCCAGAGGCAGTTTGGAACTCGGTAGTGAGTGTTGCAATTGAGGACAGACAATTTTTACACGCTACGCGCTTCAGCACTCGGCGGTCCCGTTCTGTGAGCTTGTGTGGCCTACCACTTCGCGGCTGAGCTGTTGTTGCTCCTAGACGTTTCTACTTCACAACAACAGCACTTACAGTTGACCGGGGTAGCTCTAGCAGGACAAACAAATTGACGAACTGACTTGTTGGAAAGGTGGCATCCTATGACGGTGCCATGATGAAAGTGACTGAGCTCTTCAGTAAGGCCATTCTACCGCAAATGTTTGTCTATGGAGACTGCACAGCTGTGTGCTCGATTTTATACACCTGTCAGCAACAGGTGTGGCTGAAATAGCTGAATCCACCAATTTGAAGAGGTGTCCACATACTTTTGTATATATAATGTATGACCCTATTGGAACCTATTCACAGAAAGAATTGCATGTGGGTCAGGAAGGGAGGGTAGGAAGGGGTCGCTAGCTGTCAAGCTGCTTGTACTTGATTTACCTCTCTTCCTGTCCAACCTAGCCCGTGACACACCATCTATGGATTCTGGGGAGTCATCTAGCACAATGCCTCTAATTTAGCGGCTCCAAAGGGTGGAGGGGAGAAATGCGCCAGAGGTCATTCTGCATTCTGCTCTCCACTGTGCAAAGCAGAACAGAGGAAGGGGGTTGGGTAGGCAGGGGTGCGGTTCCCCAGCTAGCAAAGCTAGCAAGCAAGCAATCAACCAAGGTAGTTGCTGGGGCAACAAAAGCGTTTGTTGAATGGTTACAGTGCATTACTCTGGCACAGAAGCAAACATAAAAGACTCCAGGCAAATGTTAACGGTAGATGGCTAGATGTGTACTGTCCTTAAGGCTATGGAAATGTAAAATAACAACCTAAGGTAGCTAGCCACCAATGTGACTCCCATTACTTTTACGTGGAATAGCAAGTTAATGGGAGTCACACTGTCACTGGGCTACAGGCTAGCCAGATTTGTTTCGCTAGTAATTGGTTTCTGTATTAATGTCAACTCACCATTAACCACATTTTAATAAACGTGAACTGTAGCTATGTATTTAGATTAACATGGGAGCATTAGGTAGGCCAGCTACCATTTACTATCAAACATGTCATATTAGAACTAGCAAGTAGCTAGCTAACGTTAGCTAACTAGGAAGCCAGCTGGATCGCCTCTGGCGGGGAAATGGAACTGCCAGGGAACTGAACCTCAGCTGTGCGTATTAGCCAAATTACAGACAAAACTCAAAATAAAAACCATAAATGACGCGGTAGACACTTTACCTGCTTGGTCGGGTCATTCCTCTCGTGCTCAGAAGACAGGTGATGTCTCAAAAGCAAGGCCCGCTTGTAATTTCGACTGCCTTTCACCAACTCGTCGTTTTTAGTGGCAATATTGTGACACCAGGAGCAAGACATAAGACCTGTCTCCTGGCAAAATTTAAGCCATGGAAACTCCTGTCGCCATGAAGCTTGGAATAGCGAGTGTTTCTGGAGTAACGTCTGCGGTCTCATTTCTACCCAACATTTCCTGCCACCACCCGTTTCCTGCTCCCCGTCTCCCCCGCTCCCCGCTTCGCCTCTATCGTCCTCGGATACGGTGCCACCGCTGCCCAAGCCAGCGCCGTCCTCGCTATTCAGGCGGTTACCCGCTGTCCAGCTACTCCCTTTCCTGGACTCGTCTTCTCCGACAGTTACTGCCACCCAACTGACACGATCCTCGCCATCCCCGTCTGCCCAGATGCCCCCTTCCGGGTCCTCTTCCTCCTCAGCCTCTGGTTCTGTGCTATCGCTGACAGACCCCCCACCCTCCACTCTCTCTTGTGATGGTCCTTTTGCCCCCAGATCCCTATCCTCTTCTTGATCTGGTCTGTTCCCGTTCAAATTTCGGTCTTGACAGGCCTGGGCCTCACAGCTGTTACTGTTGCTCCCCCCGACACCACTGGAACCGGTTACGGCTAATCCACCTCCTCTGAAAGCCAACGACCTGCGGTTTCTCTCCCCGGACATTTTCTTAATATATTAAAATCTATCACTTTCTTAACAATATCCCTACCGACTAATTTCGATATATTTAAGTATTCTATGTTGCGGATCCGAATTAAATGTATATTTGTCGTTTTTCCCTACTTTGGCCTCCTGGTGAGAGTATGTGGGTTATGCGGAAATAAATAAAGCTTTAAAACGCATAATGAATTTCAGGGTTCTAGCTGCGTCCGCGCAGGCCCTACAGAGGTCGAATGGCAACGACTTTCCCCACAATGCACTTCGACCAGAGAAAGGGGGGTCGTGGGGGCTCATTTAAAGGAAGATGGGGGTGCTGTTCTTTTATAGCTCAACGCTGTTAACAGCAAGGGGTCTTTTGTGTGAGTGGCTGCACCCATTTTCCGCGTGCTTTTCATCTTTGGTTTTGGTTGCCTTCAACCAACAAATCCTTGTCCTCCTTTCAGACCTCCTGCCAAGCGGGGTGACGGTCCCCTTGTATTAACTGCATCAAACAGATCTGGTGCGCGCCTATCGTGTTTGTTTCCCATTAATTTCAATGGGCAGGTACAACAAGTGATCCAACCCAACGCACAAGGTGCGGCGGTGATCTAGGAACATACAGATACTCTCTGTATGTTCCTAGGTGGTGACAAAGTTACCAAGTGAATGATTAACACTTTCATGGTTCTTTGCATTCCACATTTTCCCCCACTACTATTTCGTTATTTCCTATATTTTTTATGCAATCCAACATCACCCGGTTTGTTTATTATAGGCATATATTTGTCCAAATATGTGTATGCTATATATTTTGTAAAAATTGATTCTGTGAGAAACCACAGCAATATCAGATATTGTAATAATCAATAACAATCAAAATAAGTAAATAATAATTGCTTGGAAATGTATACAGTCCAACATGGCCGAGTGGAATATATATATATATATATATATATATATATATATATATATATATATTTTTTTTTAATATATATATTTTTTTTTTATTAGGTTTTCTTGATGAATAAACCAAAATTAGTAGCCCTAATTAATTGTCTCAGTAATGTATGATGATATAGTAAGTAATACGTTTATGTTTACGTTAACACCAAAAACATAAAACATTTGTTTTGGTATAAATTTTTAATTTACAGGCCTGATTTAAACATTTTTTGTTTTTTTCCCACAGATTATTGAAGTTACAGAGCCATAATAAATATGGGAATTTATATTGATCTAAAACCTATAATAATCCCATGGAAGCCTGCTCCTGCTAATTTTCTCCTGCAGGTGGCAGTAGTCTTTCATGATTCACTGAGTTTTCTGACTGACAGCACTGTTACAGTAATAAGTGGCGTTGTTAGGCCTAGTGTCCGGTGTCCTGTTTTTCAAAGCCAGTAAATGAAGGACTAAACCAGGATACAGTGTGTGAACATGATGGGGAGTGTTACCCACTCTGCTTCTGGTAATGACGTGTATATACAGTACTAGTCAAAAGTTTGGACACACCTACTCATTCAAGGGTTTTTCTTTATTGTTACTATTTTCTACATTGTAGAATAATAGTGAAGACATCAAAACTATGAAATAACACATATGGAATCATGTAGTAACCAAAAAATGTGTTAAACAAATACAAATATATTTTTTATTTGAGATTCTTCAAAGTAGCCACCCTTTGCCTGGATGACAGCTTTGCACACTCTTGGCATTCTCTCAACCAGCTTCATGAGGTAGTCACCTGAAATCCATTTCAATTAACAGGTCTGCCTTGTTAAAAGTTAATGCGTTTGAGCCAATCAGTTGTGTTGTGACAAGGAAGGGTTGGTATACAGAAGATAGCCCTATTTGGTAAAAGACCAAGTCCATTATGTCTCCTGAGTGGCGCAGTGGTCTAAGGCACTGCATCGCAGTGCTAACTGTGCCACTAGAGATCCTAGTTTGAATCCAGGCTCTGTCGCAGCCGGCCGCGACCGGGAGACTCATGGGCGGCGCACAATTTGTCCAGGGTAGGGGAGGGAATGGCCGGCAGGGATGTAGCTCAGTTGATAGAGCATGGCGTTTGCAACGCCAGGGTTGTGGGTTCGATTCCCATGGGGGGCTAGTAAAAAAATAAAAAAATAAAATGTAATCACTAACTGTAAGTCGCTCTGGATAAGAGCGTCTACTAAATGACGTAAATGTAAAAATATTATGGCAAGAACAGCTCAATAAGCAAAGAGAAACGACAGTCCATTATTACTTTAAGACATGAAGGTCAGTCAATACGGAACATTTCAAGAACTTTGAAAGTTTCTTCAAGTGCAGTCGCAAAAACCATCAAGCGCTATGATGAAACTGGCTCTCATGAGGACCGCCACAGGAAAGGAAGACCCAGAGTTACCTCTGCTGCAGAGGATAAGTTCATTAGAGTTTCCAGCCTCAGAAATTGCAGCCCAAATAAATTATTCACAGAGTTCAAGTAACAGACACATGTATTTTTATTTCTTTGAATACAAATTAATAAATCAAAAATGATGCATGGGGGCAGGTGTGTCAATGCAATAGACAGTTTATGGTTATAGTCTGAGTCAAATCTCATTTTGGGTGTCTATCAATTAGGTTACAGGTCAGATTGAAACCCAGTCTGGAAGGTCACTCTGGGGCCACATTAAATCAATGTGTGTATGTTCAGACAGACATCAATACGGCTGTCCTACATGCAAATGTTGAAAAATGACCATAACAAAATGTGAAATATTAGTTTGTCAGCCTTGGTGTGCTAAAATAGATGGTTTGATGACGTGTGACACATTGAACCACGTGCCTGGCTCTGTTTACACTTCTACGTGCTCTTTCTACGGCTTGACGTCACAGAGGACCCCACCCCACCGCGAGCATGTGAGTGCACAAGATTGCAGGAGCGAAGTGGGGAACCTGCAAGCTTTTGGACCAAATAAGAATAGCAGAAACAGCACATAGCGTGAGGATGGAGCAAGCAGATCAAGGTAATGTATTTGTTACAGCATGCAAAATGACAGTACTATCACTGACAACCGTTTTAAAACACTGTTTAGTTTGTTTCTAACCAAAGTTAGCCAGCTAGCTGAAGGCTAATCAGAGCATATGCTAACTAACTCAAGTTCAGCCTTCTGCAGAAGCTTAAAAAAAATAACTGAATGTTCTATTCTTCGATATACCCCGAGACAATAATATACAAGCCATTCATCTCAACCCATACAAGTGAAACAAGATAGACAAACATTGTACAATGTTCCTGTTCTTTGAATGTGGGAGGAAAAACAATCCAGACACAAGGAAGTTTGTCTGGTCCTCGACTTCAAAACCCAACCTCAACTGTTACTTTGTTGCACGCGTTTGAAAGAAAACGTGGAATGAGTCATAATATTGGTTGAACCATTAGCCTGTACATTTATGCGTTGTTGTTTTGCAGTTATTTTCACTGAAGTGGGTTGAAAATACGTTTTACCATATGTTTGCTCCTGGAATGCCCACACACCACACCTTGCTCTAGATGTGTCACACATTCTTTACTGTGTACAGATTGTTCTGCTTCTTGATCATTCACGTGTATGCCTTTATTATCCATTGATACGTTTACTGTATGTCTTTCGTCGTTTTAAAGGTTTGTGACAATATACATTTTTATCTCCATTGTAGACAATGTCTCTGGCACAACTGTCACAATTCAATTTTCACACTTTGAATGTACTATGTGTATGTTGTCATAATATGTTATTTTTATTTGATAGGCATCACTAAAGTGAACTAGATTATGAACAGTCTGCCTTTGATTTGCACTGTTCTTGTGATTAATCTTGTACTGTTGACAGAATGTTGTCTAGTAGTCTATCAGCACTTTTTCCGTTTTCCTGCCATCTCGGAAATGGGTAAACACTTCATGTCTCTACAGGTCTAGCCTATTATTTCACTCCCAGAACTAGGCTACACCTTGCACAATAACAATCCAAGTAGTAACCTATGCCTCTTGAGGAGCAGAATCACTGAGAGAATCTGAATTGCATGCTCCTCACTAACTCTCTCCTCCCCACCTTCTCAAAACCCATTGGAGGAGAAGGTCAGAGGGGAGGGACCTCTGGCTTTCTTATCCAATGGGTTTTGAGAAGGAGGCGCGGTGTATGCAATTGAGATTCTCCCACTGTCTACTTCTGCTTCTGCTCTCCAGTCCCCTATGACCCCTGACCCCTCTGACCACTTCCCTGTTCTCTTCCCTCCCTCCCCTCAGTTCTCATTCTGTCCAACATCCCTCTTGGGAGGTGGTTCGATGCAGGGCCAGACAGGTAGCAGCTGAATACATCCTTCCTGGCTTTGATTACTCCCTCTTCCTCTCCTCTCCTACTGGGCAGCCATCTGCCTTGTGCCTCCCTCTCCTCCCTCCTCTCCCTTCATCTGCCTGCCCACTTCTCAAGTCTCACTGCAGCTGGTATGCAGGCCAGGGAGCAGCGTGTTGTTTAAACAACAGATTGCAGGATGATGCCAGAGACACACTGTGTCTTTTTTGTGTACTTTGCAGGAGAGGCTGCCAGGTAGGAAGGCCTCTGACCTGCTTGTCTTTTCTTTTATATAGATACAATTTTAGTCAGCGGTCATGAGCAGGATCATCATCCTTTGGCGCATAGAGGTGATGCAATTTCCTGAAGTCCATCTGCTTTTTCTGTAATATGTCTTGAGGTTCAGAAACCTGTAAAATAAAAAAAACTTTAATACTATGTAGGCCTATTGTATATTCGTGCTCATCAAAAGCAGCCCTGGCATTCAATACAAAGGCAGCGTTCTTGACATGCCACTATGTATCAGATAGAATACACAGCAAATATGACATATGAACCCTTTTCTATTACCTTTAATTCAAAAAAGTTAGTTCCAGTGTACACTGGATATAAATTGGCTCTGTTGCCAAGGTTTTCATCAGGGTGACTCATGATGGGACCACCAGTCAACGGTTTTCTTCTTGTCAGGCAGCTGTCATGGCAACAGAGTGAGATGTCAGTTTGTTTTTAGTG